TGTTAACTGTGAGACACTTTATGCATGAAAATATTGTAATGTAAAAATAATGTTGTAAAACAAAATTTCTTTTGAAATCCTTTTGTGGTAAGTCAGCTGAAATATGAGAGAATACTTAGACTCTGCCTACAAATTCTGTTTTTTCACCCCACTAACATGACATCAATTAGAACTGAAACAACTCCAGTCAAGACATTGACTATCATAAAGGCGACATTGAAAAGAGAAACAGAAACAAAATTCACATGGAAATTTCTTCAGAAAATAGCAAAATGACAGTTGTGTAAGATAGAATGTCCTATTGTATAAGGTAAAGGAAAGACGTTACTCTTCTTTTAATATGAAAATCACTTACACAATAAGGCTGGATGGTTTGAAATGCATTTCCTTGCCGCCCCTCACTGTGAGCTCTGTGGCTGATTTGGCAGGAAGAATGAAACTAAAGCCAAGAAGATTCAGCCAAGTTGAACTATTATTGATAAGCCACTGAAATGTAGGATAATCACAGAGCTTCTTTTATCTCGATATTAACTTTTAAGAAAACAGATTAATTTAAAATAATTAAGAACATATGCTCTCCTAAGTCAAATATAATTATGTCAAGTGATAGTGGACTTAAATATCAGGGAAAAAGGAAAAAAAAGAAAAAGAACAGTGGTGGAAACTCAGAGAAACATTGGAGCCTGCCTGATTTGAGATCGTAGACCCGGATTCCAGAAATCCTGTTCAACAGCCATATTTTCAGGTATGTGTTCCACACCATTTGATGGATAAAATAAAAGACAAAACAAAACAAAGCATTTCCCCAATGAAATGGTGTTATTTGAAATAGAGTAGGAATCTGTATAGATGTAGTCATTCTTCTTATAAAGGTGGACCTTTAGAGCAATTTTCTTAATGTTGCTCCATGTGATCTTCCTTTATGGGACTGAAGGAAGTACCAGCCATTCACTAGCAGTATGCTATTACTATCATTATGAATCCATTAGACATATTCAGGTGAGCTGAGTAATAGCCTTGTGATCAAATTCTCCTTCTTTTGCTTTTAATGTAGCATTTAATAGAACACAAATTGCTTCTTATTTATTTTTGCCTATAGTAAAAATTCTAAGAAAATTAAAAAGTCCTCTCCTTTGCCCTTGGATATCAGTAGAAATGTTAGATGTAGTGAGTTTTCAGTATTAAGTTGCTGCATTTGTATTATTTATTATAATAACTAGTAAAGCACAGCAATATCTGATAAAAAGAGCAGTAGAGGCTATTAAATCTCTACTACTCCATATTAGAATATGATATCCTAAGTGTAAAGTTTGGGGAAAGGTGCTTAATTAGGATAAGCAGTTTTCATTGTTTTGGGAAGCTTTATTTTCCATCTATGAAATGGTGTAACACACATGCACACATACATAGAAACACAAATACACACATGTGCTACTTTGCAAAAGAGACAGGTTCCATGGGTGTGGTTCTGAGTTTAAAAGTTACCCTGAGAATGCTCTTCCACAGAGCTGTACAAGCTGACTTCTACCTGCCTGTCCTTGACCAATGGCTCTTGCTACTAAAGCCTATCTTGCCACCCTTCATAGGCAAGACATGCAGGAGAATAAGCATCCTTCTCTCCCAGAAGCCTTCATCCAATGACTGGAAGCGGGAGTCTTTTCATCAGCTTCCCTAACCCATGAGTAGGAAAACTCTGGGGTGTCTGTCCTCTACTGGCTGTCATAGCGTCTCCGATGGAAAGGAAGTCCAGTCACTCAGCTGGCTTTAGGGGCTCCCCTGTCTCTTTTCCAGACTCTCCTACTGTGAGTCCTTCACTTCCAAATTAAACTTTCACTCAAATCCTGTCTCAGCTTCAGTTTCTGCTTCTGGAGGAATCTAGACTAAGAAATATGCAGCTATATGACTTTTAACTTAACAACCCTGGGAATATTTGCAAATCCAACTCAATCCTTTGGTACAAATGAAAATAATTTTGCTTACGCAAACCTTTCTTATTGTGCTTCTATATGTTGTTCAAATTTTTATAATGATCTACAAACATAAGAGATGAAATAAAAATGTAGGTATGGAATGTAGGCATATGGCCCTGACTGGCATAGCTCAGTGGATTGAGCACGGGCCTGTGAAGCAAAGGGTCACTGGTTCGATTCTCAGTCGGGGCACATGCCTGGGTTGCAGGCCAGGTCCCCAGTTGGGGACACATGAGAAGCAACCACACACTGATGTTTCTCTCCAACTTTCTCCTTCCCTTCCCCTCTCTCTAAAAATAAATAAATAAAATATTTAAAAAAAGAAATGTAGGCATATGTTTGCCTTAAAATGTTACCAGGCTATGTAAAATACTAAATTCACCATTAATTTTGCCAGATCAACTGTGTTCTCATCATCATTGTGCTCTCCTTGTAATGTTTTTGAACAAGCCATGAAAATAGGAGGACGTGCTTCTGCTAGTTACTTACTCATGTTCTGCCAATAGCAATGCATCGATCTGTCAACCCTTCCACATCTATCCACAATGTACAACAGGCATAGTTAAAATATCTTCCTTAGTTTATTCAGACTTTGAAAAAACAGACTCCTTGGAGTCTGTTAGTCACCACTGATGAACCATCTAGGAAAGTCACCCCTTTCATGGCTCAATCACAGCTCTTTGGGAGGGGGGATTGGAGGGGGCCAGAGAGAGCTAAGGCAGGGCAATGGGGGAATGGGGACAACTAACTGAACAACAACAAAAAAGAAAAAGAAAAAAAAGGAATAGGAAAGGCAGTAAAAAAATTCAACAGAAACCTAAGACTCAAAGCTACCATCCCCACTCATGTTTCCATGGGAATAGACCTCAGATCAGGAAAAAAAGGAATGGATGGGGTTAGCAGCTCTCAAATAATCATTCAAACGCATGATGAGGTTTTTAGAGCTTCTTTCTTAGGTGATTATTTGGTAGCCTCTTAACCCATTTCTGTCATTCTGTTTCCATGGAAATATGACAAAAATGACTGTCCAAGCTTCCAGCAGAGATCATTAGCATCCTTGTGAGTTTCAGCTTCTGGCTGTGGTCTGTGCTGGGTAAGGTCTTTTTTTTTCTGTTAGCTTTACACATTAACCTACACTGTTTTCACACGTGGTCATTTTTTTCTTGTTTTTATTCTCTTTGAAAATCCTCTTCACAAAGGTATAGCAATATCAGATTGATTGTCATATCACTGAAAGAGGCTTCAGTTTTAGATTTCAATATATGAGCCAGGACATGGAGCTGCAGAGTATCAGAACTTTTACAGACCACAGAAGAAAGCATCATTTAGTTGCTCTTCCCAATGACTGCTAGACAGGTGTTGGCAGATACGCAACAAGGGTGGTATGTAACATATTTAGTAACTGAAGGACAAGGTGCTAGCCAACCAGAGCAACAGGTTCATGTTAGCTCATTATCAGCCCTATAATTACTACTAATAAATTAAACTAAAAGCAGCCCTATATAAGATGGCCAGTATTATACCTAGACAAAACTTCCTAGAGTCACAAAAGGAGCTCCTTTAAACTTACATAAGAGTTTATCAGAGAAACTGGGTAGAAGTAGACACCAATCCATCGTAAAAAAAAAAAAAAAGAAATCAAAGTACAAATCTTTGCATTATTTTTCATATGAAGGTTATTTGACAATCAAAACCATTCTTATTACTGGAGACATTATTCTAAAAGGTAAAGAGAGATGGGGGTTGATAAGAATCACGGGCAAGACAGCTCGTGTTGAATGTGGGAAATACAGCAGTAGACTTGTGCAGACTTTCCTGTCTCCTACCTTCTGAAATTTGCTGAACATCTCAGTGAACAATTTTTTTCCTAGGGAAATATTAAAGTTCAGATTGATCTCATAAAGTACTTTTATTCTTCAGAGCTCTCTTATTATTTTACAGTTAGAGTATTTTCCCTGTAAGATCTTGTCTTCTGAATTTGAATGGGAAAAAGTATATTTCAATGGATAATTATCTGACTTAGCTAGGTTCCTAATTTAATAGAGACTAACTTACTACATTGACTATTATTTATTCATATTTTCAATGAAACATTCATAGCAACAATAAAATCCAGCAGCCTGAACCATTTTTCAAATCATCATCACTACATCCAAAAGCAGTTTGCCAAATTAGTAAACACATGAACCATTAAGGGCAGGGTTTGGCTAGAGATCTGTCCTTCAGATTGTTTGTATGAATAAAGTTTTACTGGAACACAGTCATGTTCATTCCTGGGTTTTGTTTGGTTTTAATTGTGTACGGCTGCATACCTACTGAAAGGAGAGAGTTGCATAGTTGCCACAGAGACCACTTCACACAAAAAGCATATTGGTCTTGTAAGCAAAAGTTGACTGACCTCGGCACAAACCTTTATTTTTGGTAAGATTATACATTTTTTCAGAAAAGAAACTTGGTAAGTAGTAGAGTAGTAGTAGTCTTTTTTTTCAAATTCTAAAAGCAGTATATTGCTGGTCAGTCACATCTTCCTCACCACACTTTCTGTACTTGTACACTTTGGGTTTTTTGTAACAATAATAATCTCATTGTTTTATATTAGTTTTTTACTGTTTCTGATCTAGATCATTTGTTCTAATACTTCTGTATTTTCAGAAATGTAAGTGTTCCCTTTATAGATGGGGAAGACTAGCAGAAGGAGGTTATGGCTTATTCGAGCAGAAAGAGCTAGTGAAGAGAAGGTGTGAGGCTATCTTAGGTCTGAAGGGGGAGAAGGTACAGAAAATAAGTAGCATAGACAGTAGATAGAAAATAGATGGGGGGGGCAAGAATAGCATGGGAAATATAGAATCTAAAGGAATTGAGACACATGGTCTTAAACTAAAGGGGGGGTAATGGTGGGGATGGGGGGTAGGGTGGAGGGGAATGAAGGGGGAAATAGAACAACTGTAACAGCATAATCAATAAAAAAATTTTTTAAAAAGCAGTCTATTAATAACAGATATGAATGTGATAGCCTGTGTCTGTACTTACATCCATGAACTCCACATTGGCTTTGGGACCAGTTGTTTCATTAAGAATCTTAATGGCCACAGGAATCTTCACTGTTTCTCCTTCAGGGACCCAAATACCCTTTGGGGAAAAATCATATTCAATCTTTATTAAGACATACAATACTCACACCATAACTGAAATTTGGTTAATCCAATTCTGATCAAGCTATTAGTTACTTAAAAATAATTCAGTTATATATTCTTTTATTTCATCAGCGAACATTTATCAAGCACCTATTATATGTTACACATCACTCAGTGACTTTGTTGTCAGCTTTCATTATGTGAAGATGAGTCGTACATATATTCTGCTTTCAAGATGTTTACACTGTTATACAATCAATCTGTGCATTAAAAGGCTTTGAAGAGTGGAGGGTTTGAGGAAAAAGAATTCATGCGCATGGACAGAAGTGTGGTAATTGCCTCGGGGAGGAGGTATAAGGGGACTAAGTGGTAATGGATAGAATACAATCAAAGAAAAAAGAAAATCATTGAAATAAGATATAACAATATTTTATTCAAATGGTATCCTCAACTTCTCAAGACTTTGAGAATGCTCTTCAAATTTTTCAGCTTTAGTTGCCTCATTTGTACTTTAGAATATTCGACTAAGTCAATTGGAGGTTCTTTGTAGCTTTAATATCATCTAGTTAATTCTGAAACTAAAAAGAAAAAACTTTTTAAAAGTATTTTCTCATGTTCCTGAAGTTCAAATTGATTTAAGAATTAATTTTCTAAGGTGATTATTTCAGAATTAGTTTTCAAAGGCAAAGTACTAGGGTGTATTGAGCACACTTTAATTTGTCTATATTATTGAGTAGTGTGAGGGTCAAAGATTTATATCTCTGAAGTAATATAAAATATTTATTTTAGCCATTGCCAGTTCTCTCTTCCAGGGAAATATAATTATAATATCTGTAAAGGATCTGTACACCGGGAAAGTATACAGCAGGTAGAGTTTAATTAAAGTACAACATTAAATAACAGCACTTCTGCAAGAACAATTAAATCATTTGAATGAGAACCATGATTCTGGTAACGTATAGAGGGATGCGTGGATTATATAAGAATATTTTTTAAAGTGTTTTGACCAACTGAACATAGTACCAAATATAAAGTTACATAAAAATATCAAAAATTTTAATTTCTTAGATCTGAAATCAAAATAATTTTCTTGGCAGTTTTAACATTAAAATGAAAAAAAGAAAAAAATGTGTTATTCCATCTCTACTTCCTGTCTTTCTTAATGTTAACTAGTTGTAGTCATAAAGAAATGATTAAAGTTTTTCTTCACTGTGTATTTCTATGCAGTAACATATGTATTTGTGATATCCAAAGTTGTAATAGTGTAAGAGGAGACCTAAACAAGAATTACTAAAAAGTCAAAATAATAAAGAAAAAATGAATGTTAACCTTTAGAAGGTGAATATAAGGGGTATACTTTTTATAATCAATAAGAAAATTTATATGTCGAGCACAAATAATAAGTTCCCTTTTGTATAATCATTTTCAAAAATTATTAATGCTTAAATGAGGAAAAAATACAGAAGCCCAAGAGCCGTGAGCTACATTTTCTCACTGATGGTTCCTGGCATGGAGAATGGGCTTACCATTATTCAATAAAAAAACCATAGAGGGAATTAACTTATAAAAATATTGTATCAATATTAAAATATTCCTAAAGCATACTTTTTAGATAAAAATACAAATTCATTTTTTAAATAAGTATAGTCATTAATGTCTGGGCCTGCCCAGAGAAAGATCAACTAAACTGATACCCATAATATTGACTCATCTTTTATATTTAAGCACAGGATATCTCTCACCAGGAGAAATAATTAACCAAATAATTGCCTTAGTCAGCTTTCATTTGTGTAGTCAAGAATAATCCTTAACAGTTTAGACAGTATGTCCTTGTGAGAACTAACACGTTCATTAACAAATAGGATCAACCATATACGCTGCAGATATAATTCAAACATACTTATGGAATATTCTATAAATTTTCAATGCAAGTAATTTCAGTCAAGGTACAACATCATGAAAAACAAACAAATAATTGTTCTTAATGACAACATTAATAAAGCTTTTAAAGAAATGTTTAAATAAATAATATTTTCTCTGCTAAGGTCGGAAGTTGTGTTTAATCTTCAGTTAAATTATGTTTATCATTTCAAGTAATATTCAATTTCCAAACCCTATTAAATTAAAAAAATATATAAGGGTGATAATACACTTGGAACAATTGAAGACGGATTTCTCTTTAAAATGGAAGTTCATTTTTATCATAATAAAAATAGAGAAACAGGATAGATAAGTTGTGGTTCTTTGAACACACAAATAGTTAAAATCTGGAAGGCATCAAGCCAGCTTTGAGTAGTTTCCATTCAATTAGGTGCTCAGTTAATAATTTTGAAATTAATTAAATAAAACATGTATACTAAGATATTAAGAAAATTCAGCACTCTATCTCTATAATAAAACAATTTTATATTTAACAAAACCTGATTACTTTAACATAAAGTGGAGAAAATTAATGTTTCTATTTTAATCGTTAATATTTTCTGTTTAAAAATCTTTGTTTTAGATAGAAAAAAATTGAATATACATTTTAAAATGCAAAATTCTTAAGCTCCAGTCTATTTTAACAGATGTGTTTGTAAAAAATATAGGCTTGCATGTAGCTTTAAGAAATATATAAAACTGGCAAAGTAAATTTGGGAATTGGAAGAATAAGCACTGCAAGAAATAATTTAGACAGAGTTTCTTATTCTTACTATTTGCCATTAAGAGTAAATTTCACCACCATTAATCTTTGGCCTGGCCTCTGAGTAGGTTTTGGAGCTAAGCTAAATAAGCAAACATGCAAATACCATCCTTTGAACTTTCCCTTTCCAGGAAGGCTTCTCCTATTCAAGAGTCCTGAGGTCACGCTCTCCTTGTCTCAACTGAGTTTCACAAAATACAGTCAGGTTTTTTTTTTTAGTCTGCATATAATATAAGGGCATCAACCTGGAGAATGTTTATTAAATCATACATGATACCAGGCAGATAAAAGGTTGTTTAGGAACTAGTCCTCCCCTGTTAAGGAATTAGCATAGCAGTGTGGATTCTGAAGAGATTAGCTAAATGGGGAGAGGTTTGAATCAAAGAGCTTGCCTGGGATTTCACAGGGCTCTGTGCAGGGAGAAAGGAAATGGGTTGGAGCTGGACATTCTGGAGGAGGATGACATTTTCCAAAGGGGGGATGATACCAAAAAGGGCTCAGGAGGGTGCTGAAAGAAAGAACTAAACTTTGGTTTTGTACCACTGTTTCCTGCTTTGTCATGTCCGTATCCATTCCTACCTTGCATAATAAAAAACACTGGAAAAAAATGAACTGATCTGTGCTCCAACATCTCAATACTAAAAAGGTTCTTCTCTATGATACTAAAAGGAAATTGGATTGTTTAGAGAACTAGCTTAACCTATTATTAAAACAAGTCTGGGAGAAAACTTAAAATAACTGATGGTGTATATTATTTGTACTTACTTTATACACAGTTCCAAAAGCACCCGAGCCAAGTACTTTTACTCGTTTGAGCTCAGTTTCTTTCAAAATACGAAGCTGAGCCTGATTGGGTGCTGTCCCACTGGGAGTTAAGGGCTCTACCAACTAAAAAAGACAAAAAAATACAAGTTATAACTTCCAATACAACAATCAGCACTTCTCTCTTTTGCTTCTCTTTCTCTATCCATGGCTGGTTCCCTTTCTCACACATACAAAAACACACAAACACACTTTTTCTTGAAAACACATTTTTGTATTATGGATTAGTCACCATTACTTCAGACCCATTCTTTTCTCTTCTCATGCTCTTTGCCTGATGAGTTCAAGTAACAAATGTGTGGTGACCTGGAAGCATAATAGGCTATGCTTAATATATGTGTGTGTGTGTATCTTTTATATATGTGTATAAATATATCTTATATATTTGTATATGCATATTTGTGAATATTTATATTGATACAAATAGAGTTATACATGTTAATAAATATATATTTAATTTTTATAAAAACTTAGAGACTAATTAAGGGATCTTAATTCTACTTTTCAAGCTCCTTCTTTTTCGGTATCTTCAGCTAAGACTTGGAGATTTTGTTATGTCAGCATACCCTAGTAAAATTATCTTTTTCATTTAAAAATATTTAGTTCATAAAACAATGAAATGCTGCCTTCTTGGCACTTAAAATCCAGAATAAACACATCAGAAGATTTTTACAAAAAAATAAGTAGCACAATGCCAATATTCCTGGACAGTGCTTGTAAAACTTTCATGTACATATGAATTACTTGGAGTTCTGCTAAAATGCAGATTTTGCTTCAGTAGGTCTGTGGTTTGGGCTGAAATTTGCATTTTATAGAATGCCAAGTGATGCTCACATATAATGACGGTCCTTAAACACATTTTACGTACAAGACCTAGGTACCTTTTAGGTCAAAAATTCTAAAATTCTATGAATTGATTCTAGATCATAAGTGAATGCTAGGAGATGTGAAAGAATAAAACAACACCAGGGAGTGAGGTTCTTTAGGTTTGGCTTCCTAAAGGAGGAACTCTTCCAAACTGTTCTTGAGATGATAAAGATGGGTTGCCATGAAAGAGGACACTGGAGCCATCAAGAGCCAGTTTGGACACAGCATCAAAGAGAAGGAGGAATACTTCAAAGAGAAGCATTCCTACATAAAGGGAGTGACAAGGCTGAAGGGTGGGAAACATCAGATCATAAAATGGGTGAGGTGTGGCCAAAGGTGTACATTTAGGTTAATAATGTCAGACACCACAGTTTAGATGCCATTTGGTTAGAGAGGATAAATAAGCAAGGGGCACATGCGGATATGTGCCAATTTCTTGCCTATGTGAGAAAATAATATGTAGACAATGAACAGACTCTGGATACCAAAAGGTCTGTATCCTATGTTCCAATTTGAGGCTTTTATTCATGCTCCAGTAAAAGGAATCTAAAATAGGAGTTTCTTTCTTTTTTAAAGTAAAATAATGGAGCGTAATTTTAAACACAGACAAATAGCTTGTTCTTTCTTAGCATAAGGGGATAATTAAGGGCTACTCCTACTCAAATTATCTTGAAAAACACCACAATATTTCAAATGTCTGTTTACAGGGCTGAGTACACCATGGCCCTCCAGCTTGGTTATTATTATCATGCTCCTGTGAACATCATGGTCTAAACATTTTTCCAGGAATTTGAGTATTATACCTTTAAAAGAGGTATAATTTATTCTTTTAGTGCTAGTATGGTGGAAAGAGATCTGGGTTTACAGTCACAGGCTTATATACCAGGGCTACCATTCACAAGCTTGGAAAGCAACTTATCTCTCTATTTCACCTCTATGAAATAGGGAGAACATTAATTACCTTAGAAGATTGTTAAAGAATGCAATGGTATATAAGACAGGGAGAAAACTGTGTACACTACCTGCTGTTTGCAGGCCCTGAATCTGCCACTCTTCATTAATCCACTACACCATCTATCAATGCATCGGGCTTGTAGTGCATACACTTGTAAGTGAATGTTGAAAAACATGCATTTTCTACTTTTACTACTAACAGAAGAAAGACACTCAGAAGTCAAATTTTGGAAACGTGTATGAGCTTTATATACATTCTAATATACCATGCTGTAACAAATTGTCTACCTCTGACTCAGATGTCCAGCTACAATAGTAAAGATTTAAGTTGATCCCCTTAAAATTCTTCTTTTTTTAGATGGTAAAAAAATCATACTTATTTACTTTTACTGAGAAAAAAGATAGGAATCAATTTGGCAGTTATCTGATTCAGTCCTAAATGATAAATTACTACAAAAATAGAATTGGCTTATTTGAAACCTATCAGTGTGAATTTATTTAGTACTGAAATGCCAGTTTGAAGGACCTCTTAGAAAACACCATAATAACAAAAGAAAACAAAACAACTTTTTTCATAACAATAAGGTTTTTTTCTATACATAGTTAAGAGACAGAATTGCTGTTCAATTCCTCTCCAAATGTAGTTTATTCACTTTCCAGAGAGTTCTCTCACTGACTGCCCCAAGCTAAACACGAGGGAAAATTCTAGCTGCCTCCAGCATCCTACCAAGGTAAACTGGAAATGTGCACAGCACCTGCACTGTGCTCAAACTCTTATTCACAAGTGTGAGGGGGAAACCAAGTTGATCCGTAAACACCCAATTCGAGTAGAAATCACTACGGAGTTTTCTAATGCCCGTAATTAACCACCTTTTCCCCTAAAGTTTGCACGTGTCTATCAATAGGGCAGCCTATTGCAATTTCAGATAACTCCAATCCTTAGAAAATATTTTCCTCTATGTAACTGTAAAGTAGCTTCTTATTCTTCTAACTTCGACTTCAAAGGAAAAGAGGTAACATTTAATTCATTATTAATATGCAAAATTTATGAATGAATGAATATTTGCATTCCATTGTCGTTAGGAGGAAAAGTCAAGGCTGTCTCACTGACAATGAGAAAGAAAGCAAATCAAGGGAACATTATGACTTGGAGCAGATTTGCTCTGCATTGTTCAGCTTGGCAGGAATGAGTGTATCAGGAGAAAGCGGTAGTATTACAGTTAAGAAAAATCTGGTAAATGCATGTTCTTCTGTAATTGTTTTTTTCCCCTATAACCTGTGCAGTGAAAGGTATCAGCTTGCGTGGTAGAGAACTCAGTGTAGCAATATAAAAGGAGTTATAATAATTTATTTTAATTTGCATATTCACAATAACTCCCATGCACAATATTAAATGCACCACATGAATTTTGTGGTAAGGTCTGTGTGATTACAACACTAAGCTTTATCCTGTAAGCTCAGCTTTTCACTGCTGGAATAATGAGATCAGTGGCTACCTATTTAATGACCCTAGTAAAAGCATAATTGCTTGTTTATCTGGCTTTATTTTGAACCAGAAAAATTCTCTCTCTAACATTTTTCTGGTTCTGCTACTGAGATATCCTGTACCCAGATTATTTCTAGTACAACAGTACCTTTGCTATTGTGATATCCTGGGGCTTAATAATAGGACCTCTTCTTCCCAAAAAACAGACCCATCTTTTCCTCAATAAGGTAATTTCTGTGACCTCCACTGTGTATCCTCTTTAAGCCATGAACATGCCTTGATTATTTTCACTATATACTCTGTTTTTTATCAGTTTTGTATAATATACTATAAAATATAAACTCTCAGCAGGAAATTGAACAAAATTTTCACCTGGATTAAAAATCGCCATCTAAACCTTCCAAACCTAAATCAAAATCCCTAAGCACAAGAAGAGAAGGAAAAAAAAGAAACATGTCACCTCTGTCTCTAGGAATCTCCTCAAGGCTCTTTTCTTTTTGATGCTCTTCCTTCTCACATAAACTGCAAATGTCAGACCCACGATGACCAGGATGAAGAGTCCTCCGATGACTCCGGCCGCAATTAGAGGGGTTCTGCCAACCAAAACAGAAAAGGAAAAAAAAGTATGAAGAGGGAAAAGATAGAAGAAAGAAAAAAGCAGTTGTACATATCAGTGTATCACAAATCTACGCACATGTAGTGTAAATACAAGTGCCCTAGAGGTGTGACAAAACTTTTATGGTAAAACGATAGCTTTTTAAAAAAATAAACCATGCACATACAACTACTCTTGGAAGATGAGCAGCCACAACATGCCATTTCACCAAAAAATGTAAAACTTGGTAACAATGAAACACTCATGCAAAAATGTTAATAGAGGAGGATTTTAAATTGTTTTCCTGTTACTTTCATCTATCAGTGACTGGAAAATACATTTTAAGAATATCATTGCATTATATAATATTATTTTCCAAATTTTCTCTTAAACAGGCTTTGTCAACAGTGGCACTACTGGCATTTCGAGCTTGATCTTTTTTGTTCTGGGGGACTGGTCTCTGTGTTTTAGGATTTGTTAGCAGCATCCGTGACCTCCATCTGCCAGATGCCAGTAGCACTTCTGTCCTCCAGTGGTGACAATGTCCTTAGAGAGTGCCAAATGTCTATCAAAATAACTAACAGTTGAGAACCACTGTTTTTAAGCCAAAATGAGAGTTCTAGACACACACCGAGCCCCACACCTCCAGAATATGAAGGTCCAATAACAGGGATGGATTGACAGATGTGCTATTTCAAACTCTTGCAAGGGCAGCTTCCATGGCAGGAGAAAGATAAAAAAATGGGGTCAGAGTTACAATGACAGGAGGACACATTATTATCAAAAGTGTGCCTAAGCATCATATGCCCGTGAAAGGTTTACAAATTAGGTGTTATGTTAAAAGGGTGTTTATAGTACTAAAAAGGATTAGAAAGAGACTGAACAGAAATTTTTATTCTAACATTATTAGCTAAGATAGAGTCTTGGAACCGATCATTTTTATTGCTTTTTAAGATAAAAACTTTCCTTGCTCCAAACCACATAGTTGTGGTTGTAACTTCAAGTTGTAGACTACAGTAGTATCTATGAGTTTTCTCTAGTCAAAGCCCTGAAATACATTAATATCATATGCTACAGAAATAACCTGGGGTAGAATTCATAGGTGTTACCTAATATATATTTGACCATGAAGCCATGATACACATCAAAACCAGAAAAGAATTTCCTGAAAACTTACACTTTCCATAGTAAATATTTTATATCTTATATTTCTATTTGTAGAAGAATCTACTCTCTACAGCTGCATTCTTTTAGAAAAACATGTCTTGCTCTTGCAAAATAAACTTTGCTTAAAGATAGATCAGAAATAATGATAGCAGATGATCCTAAATAAAAACTTTAAAATTTTAAAGAGCTCTATAAAAAAATTGTGTAATGTTTTCTATATATGAAGACATATCTTTCAAAGATTATGACTTTTTATATTGTCATATAAAACTGTACAAAATCCTTACAAACTAGTTTATCCTAATGGCTGTTTTCTGACAGTTGAAAGTACCATAGTATACTGAAATGTGCCTATAATTCAACTAGATTTTCCTAAATAAAATTTCTAAAGATATAAAAAGCTATGCTGAGAAAATTAAACTATGGTGTGGATACAAACTCCCTGTTGCGATGTGCTTTGGCTTGTGTAAGGTCATATTTTTGAGCATGCCAGTTACATATATATTTCAGTAAATATTTTAAGTTTTCAACTCAAGGCATAATTTTTGACTCATGTGCCCACCATGCCCCTGAAAGCCACTGTAATGAAAACATTGAATTTTTGTTTCTTAAGCCCAATTTTTAATTGTAAAGTATTTATGTATGATTGAGAATAATGCCCAACATTTATTAATTCTAGATTTTAAATAACTCTGGACTTACTCTTCTAATTTTGAAAAATAAGTGCTGTGTATTTATAAAGATATATGCCATTACCACTGTAAATTTTAAGAAAATGCTCTACTTGGTTTTTGTTTCTTTTATTTTTCATTTTAAGAAAGACTGCTAACAACAGAACAAAATAAGACCTGTGTGTCTCTACTCTTTTCATCTAATTCTGCTGAATATCAACTTCCATGTCATTACTACTCAGCTTTGTCATGGCAATAAAAAATAAAATGTTCAAAATCTCAACAGAGAGTCACTGCTATATTCTTTCTCCTTAGCATTTATTTTTTATTTTCTCAGCAGTTCCTTGGTTGATTTACATTTCTTTACCTTTTTTTTCTTTCCTTACTACTCTACAGAAATAGAAGAAGTAGCAATAACCTGAAGAAGTAAAAAGTGAGCTTCTACATTTAAAGTTCACACAGAAGTATTTTCTTGGACACTTTGAAAGGCCACATTTTTCATATTTGGCAGAATTAATTCTTGAAATAAAAACAAATCATTAACCATAAGGAAGCAACCTGTGAAATCTAGAAGGGGGGGGAACTCTATAAAGCTACTTGAATGTTCTCTTTAAGAAGTGAATATTATATGATGGAAAAAGTATTGATCTTTATTAAGAAAATTTAATAGTTAAAAAAATACAGATGTGAAATGCAATTCTGGATTGAATTCTGGTTTGTGCAGACTAGCTGTACAGATGTTTTTGAGGAAACTTGGAAATTTGAACAGGAATTAGGTAGTAGATGTGATGAAAATTTACTAACATGGGAATATGTGGACCAGAAATTGGACAGATTGGATTACAAACAGTAGGATCTCGATTAGGGAAAAGGTGAGTGTGTCTGTGCAGGTGATGTGTGCACTTGCACACGTGTATGCATAAAAGACTTAGGTTAATATGCAATGAAACACTAAACAGTAGTTATCTCTGAATAGTAAAACTATGGTGTTTTATTTTTGTAGTTTTACTCATGGACATTTTCTAATTTTCTGCATTTATTTCTTTTTTAAAACAAAAGTTTATTAAATTTACAAAAAACAAAAAATAAAACAAAAATCATTGCCCCAAAGTTTATCTTAATAATAATAGCCTTGCTTTCTTTTCCTTCTTCTTGAATGTTTACTCAGTTTTTTTCAATTAATTTTTTTATTTTAATATTTCCAGTCTGCTTTCATAATCTAAGTACTTTTGCATATATAATCTATTCATACTAGTTTACTGTGCCTGAGACATTTAATTACCACTGTGTCATAACATTAACATCATGATTCACAAAATCAAGCTAATCTGAAAAGTTAATACTACTTACACATTTCCTAGTTCCCCCAATTTTGATGACTTTTAGATATTTGTAAGTATAAAATGTGGTAGATGTTCATTTTTTCCTGAGAGTTCATACTTCACTGTTTGTGAGAACCCTTCCGATAAAGAGGATACAGCTACTTAAGTAGCTTCTTCAAAATGCTATGTATCCCCACTAATCTCACACTGGCTGCTGCCAGCTAAGCAATGTTTCTAAAAGCATTTCCTCTTACTCTTCCAGAGGTGAGTAGAGGAAGCTCTCAGAGGCTACGACATTGTGAATGAGACTATGAGGGTGCAACCAAAAGACATAGAATGGTCTGTGATCCCTTATCGATAACAGTACTGTTTGTTTGTTGTCACTGTCCTGCCCGTGAAAAATGGGTGGAACCCACTAAAGTACAAAAGATTGGACACTTCAAGTGTCAAGTCCAAGTTTCGATGAAAAGGCTAGAATTAATTGATTGTTGACCTTTCTCTGTGATTTGAAAATAATTTAATGAAACAGATATCCTCCTGTTACTGATTAAGGGATTAAGCAAAACAAAACAAACAAAAAAGCCCTCATAGACAGACAATATGGTGATTGCCAGAGGAAACAGGGGGTATGAGCAGTAGAGGGATAAATGGCGATGAAAGGAGACTTGACTTGGGGTGGTGAATCTAAAACACAACTTACAGATTATGTACTATAAAACAAAGAATTATGAAACACAAAAAAGTATAAGCAGAATAATGAAGATATGCTCAATATCGTTAGCTATCAGAGAGATGCAAATTAAAACCACAATGAGATACCACTTTACACCGGTCAGGATGGCTATCACAAACAGAACAACAAACAACAAATGTTGGAGAGGTTGTGGGGAAAAGGGGTCCTTAGTCCACTGTTGGTGGGATTGCAGACTGGCATAACCATTATGGAAAACAGTATGGAATTTTCTCAGAAAAATAAAAATCGACCTGCCTTTTGACCCAGCAATTCCATTGCTAGGATTATATCCTAAGAATCCTAAAACATCAATTTCAAAGAACCTATGCACCACAATGTTCATAGCAGCACAATTTACAATAGCCAAGAGTTGGAAGCAACCTAGGTGCCCATCGGTAAATGAATGGATCAAACAATTGTGGTACATAAGGAGCTCCTACCCTTTGCAACAACATGGATGGAACTGGAAAGCATTATGCTGAGTGAAATAGGCCAGGTGCTGAAAGACAAATACCATATGATCTCACCTTTAACAGGAAGCTAAACAACAAAACAAACAAGCACGCAGAAAAAAAACAAAGACACTGAAATAGAGAACAAGAGGACAGTGACCAGAGGGGAGAGGGAAGGAAATTTAAGGGGAATAAAGGGGAGGGATTCGGAAGAACAAATAGGAAGGACACAGGGATGAGAACTAAGGGGGGTGGAAATGGGAGGGAGGTGGGGAGCATGGGGGGGCTGGTTTGGGAGAAATAGACAAAAAACTGTACTTGAAATAACTAAGTAAAATAAAAAAATAAAAAAAAATAATGAAACTGATATCCTCCCACTATTCATAGAAACCAATATAAGAATTCTAAATCTCAAATGACCTTGGATAAATTATTTGAAAATATAGAATTTGATTTTCATAATTTCATTCAGAAGTTCAGAGACATCACAATGTTTTACATTCTATTGCTTAAATAGTTACATATAAAAGAATTCTGTCTCCCAAAACTATATTACTATTATAATAATATCCTTATTGTTCATTACTGTATTTGAGCCACACTAATCCTGAAGGATATAAAATATAAGAGAAAACATGAAACTTGATTTTAGA